TTATCATCAGCGTTAATGACAGGGGACAAAATAAATGTTGTACACATTATCATCAGCGTTAATGACAGGGGACAAAATAAATGTAGTACGTACATGCTATCATCAGCGTTAATGACAGGGGACAAAATAAATGTAGTACGTACATGCTATTATCAGCGTTAATGACATGGGACAAAAAAAATGTTGTACACATTATCATCAGCGTTAATGACAGGGGACAAAATAAATGAAGTATGTACATGCTATCACACATAATGACACAAGGATTTATAATGACACATTAAATCACTATAGGCCTATATAGCCTAAGCTTCCTCTGGCCCTGACACCAGACTTAGACATTTTGACAGATAGATGTCTGAACCCACACCAGACATCTATCTGTCACAAAAATGTCTAAGTCTGGTGTCAGGGCCAGAGGAAGCTCTGGCTAAGGCCTATATAGCTAGACAATACTTTACTGTTATGATAAGTCATGTATTTTGGGATGATTATTTAAATGCATTTTCAAGAATTTTAGCAAAATTATCACATTTTCACATGAAAGATATTTGTTCACCATATAAAACACTACACATATCTTGTATTAAATATATCACAAAAAAACTGACAGGTCAAGCATAATACATCACTATTATATAAAAATACAAAACAATTTTACATGTATCATATACTAAAAACTACTGATACCAAATTCAGACAGTAAAAGATATACTTAAATCCCTGTTAGTTATGATGCTAGTCCTGGAGGCATGGCCCACTTCACAACCCCTTTTTAACCCTTTCACCACTGTAGACCATACTTGACTCATTCAGATCAATGCATGGTAGAGTCTACTAAAGTTACATAGGGGTGAAAAGGTTAACAGTTAGATGTCTCATTGAATGAGAAATTAAGAAACACTATGTGATGCTTAAACATCAGATACATTGTACTCAACAGTCTCAGCTCAACTTTGACTATCACAAATTAAATGTTGATGCTATTTAACGGTTTGTACATGAGAAACAAGAGGGTTCAGTATAAACTCTACAAAATCTTCCTTTATTTCAACCGATACTTGACAACCATTTCTGGGTTGGGGAGACAGTTTCACATGATGCCTGGAAGTTTTTAAACTGTTTTTTAGACATCATATTTATTTATTAATCAATCAGGAATAAATATGACTGGTGTGTTTAACTTATGAATTAAAAATGTGACAGGTTTGGGTTTGTTGTTCTACAAGTGTGAAAGAGAACCTCACTAAGAGATGTAGATACCACTACTCAGCTTCACAGCTAACTCCACCAGACATCTGTCAAACACGTATAGCTACAACTACTCAGCTTCACAGCTAACTCCACCAAACATCTGTCAAACACGTATATCTACAACTACTCAGCTTCACAGCTAACTCCAACAGACATCTGTCAAACACGTATATCTACAACTACTCAGCTTCACAGCTAACTCCAACAGACATCTGTCAAACACGTATATCTACAACTACTCAGCTTCACAGCTAACTCCACCAGACATCTGTCAAACACGTATATCTACAACTACTCAGCTTCACAGCTAACTCCACCAGACATCTGTCAAACACGTATATCTACAACTACTCAGCTTCACAGCTAACTCCACCAGACATCTGTCAAACACGTATATCTACAACTACTCAGCTTCACAGCTAACTCCACCAGACATCTGTCAAACACGTATATCTACAACTACTCAGCTTCACAGCTAACTCCACCAGACATCTGTCAAACACGTATATCTACAACTACTCAGCTTCACAGCTAACTCCACCAGACATCTGTCAAACACGTATATCTACAACTACTCAGCTTCACAGCTAACTCCACCAGACATCTGTCAAACACGTATATCTACAACTACTCAGCTTCACAGCTAACTCCACCAGACATCTGTCAAACACGTATATCTACAACTACTCAGCTTCACAGCTAACTCCACCAGACATCTGTCAAACACGTATATCTACAACTACTCAGCTTCACAGCTAACTCCACCAGACATCTGTCAAACACGTATATCTACAACTACTCAGCTTCACAGCTAACTCCACCATACATCTGTCAAACACGTATATAGCTACAACTACTCAGCTTCACAGCTAACTCCACCAGACATCTGTCAAACATGTATATCTACAACTACTCAGCTTCACAGCTAACTCCACCATACATCTGTCAAACATGTATATCTACAACTACTCAGCTTCACAGCTAACTCCACCAGACATCTGTCAAACATGTATATCTACAACTACTCAGCTTCACAGCTAACTCCACCATACATCTGTCAAACATGTATATCTACAACTACTCAGCTTCACAGCTAACTCCACCAGACATCTGTCAAACACGTATATCTGTTCAGTTATGGTGGTAGGGCCAGGTCTACAGGACACACACCTATCTTTCACAAAGTTTTCTAACTGAGATTTTTACTCAGCTTTAGTTATATAGTTCTATCACTGATAAATTAAGTACAAATCTTAGCTGAAAAAACTTTGAAAAAACTTGACTAGCTACAAAATATTGACTGTAGAATTATCCCAGTATATGGGTCCTTGTGAAGTAAGCCACTTCTGTGAGCTTCACTTTGTGGGCCCTTAGCCACTGTTTTCCCTGTTCATGCTGGTCATGAATTTGGTCGTGCCAGTCACCTTCAGGGAGGTAAATGTCTCGTTCTTTTGCACCTTTCTTCAATATGGGTGCCACCAAAATGGAATCTCCTACCAAAAACTCAGAGTCCACCAAAAGGGCATGTTCATCCTTTGGAGAGCTCCACCAGATTGGACGGATAATTGGGGCTCCTGAAAAGTAAAAAAAGCAAAAATGATTATCAAGCCATGAAAACAATTTTTGCAATGAAAACACTTATAACAAACTAGTACAAACACCTAATCAAACTCAACAGAAATAAATGGCTATGTAAGCGAGCAATATTTGATTTAATAGCACTTGATAACTGCACAGTGTTTTGAAACACAAATGACAAAATGATATGAAACTGAAGAACATGGACAGCTTATTATATATTTAACCTTCAGAATTGCTTACTGTTATTTGGGATAATTTTGTTGTCTGTATACATATATTGCAATATAAATTTAAATTGAACGATTACACAACTTACCTGTCATCTCTGCCTCGCGCATCCCCTGGAGGAGTAATGGCAGAATTTTCTCCTTTCGTAACTTTATCAGGTTGTTGAATATATCTACAACATCTTTGTCATAATCCCATGGTGTGAAGGCAAACTTCATAACAGGCATAAAGGCTGAAAGCTGCATCCAACGAATATAGAGTTCTGGTTCTGGTTTGGTCAAAGCCAACGTCCCGTTAACTCCATATGTGGTCCCTCCGATAATGTCAGGCACCACAAACTGGTAACCAAGGATACCTAGGGTCAAAATGGAGGGTATGACACTTCGCAGTCCGTTTGTATGAGACCAATGAGACTCTTTTCGTGGTGACTTTGTGTAGACGGGATACTGCTGACTGCGGTACCCACAACTCACCTGTGTAAGACTGCCAGCATTGGGGCTCACCATGGAAATAAACTCGGTCGCAAAGGTTCCAGGGTTTGCGAGTGATCTAAACGTTTTATGAATTTTGGGTAAAAAATTAGTTTCACATCCATGGAAATTGAACGACTTGATGCCGTAATCTTTGACCATGTTGGCTAATTGTTCCTTGTACCAAGTGACTGTGGTCTGACGCGTTACATCTATCACACCCATCAGACCGCTGTACCATTTCATCAAGGAAGGACTATGTGCCTGAATGTCTGACACCAGTAAATCTGCTGCCTTAGTTTTAAATGCTTTTGATTCTACACTCACAAAGGGTGTCATAGAAACAATGACATCAAATTTATATTCTTTCAAATAACTTACCATTTGATGTGAGTTTCTGAAAGCAGATTCATCAAAATTAAAATCCCCAAATCTTGTAGAATATTTATCATCTATTTCTATAAAATTAGCTTGAAGTTTGTAGGGACTAATCTTATCACTGACGTTTTTTGCATGTGCTAATAAGAGTGATTGAGTCAGATTTGGGTTGAATCTGCCCCAGGTAGACCACACAACGCCCTGCATTAAACTTTTGTCTGGTAGACCTAATGGCATGTGAAAATATTTCTTCTGTAGCAGTTTGTGTATTTTACTAATGCTGTCCTCCTTACACACTGTGTACTCCAACACAGGGGTTTTACTGTCTGGGTTTGGGTACGGTGAGTTGGTATAATCGGCGCTAAAACACAGTAAGTTACTTTTACTTTCATTTATGCTCACAAACAGTGGTACCTCACTGTTGACTACAATACCAACACCATTGGAATTTATCCAAAATCTATCAACAATATTTCCAAACATATTTTTTCCACTATTTTTCTCAGTGTTTGATCGGAATAAGATGTCGTTTGATAGATAAGGCTGCATAGGAACATCTGTAGTTTCAAGGGGCCAGGTCTGGTGATAGAGTTCTGCACCACCGTACCAATGGGCACTCCTCAGAGAAAAGCAGTCGTGTGGAATAAAGTCACGACTGGTTGGAGTCCACTTCACATGATGACAGTTGTCCGTCTTTGAAATCTGAAATAAAGAAACAATCTGATATAAAGTTTATATATAAAAGATATGACTGTTGCTACTGGCTTAAATGTTGGAAGTTTGACTCATCATATAACTGTACATATCTGCCTTTTTTCCCCCAAAGACACCAAGTTACCTAAATAGATACCAGCACCCTGGGAAGTAAATTAGGAAAGACCAGTGTCTTTAAAGCATCCATGTGGTTATACTCTTGAGTTCTTTAATGCTACTGATAGTCTAACACTAAGATAGTCAGATTTCATTTATTATAGGATTCAGCACAAATCCGAAAAGAAACATGACAGCTCATTGCTTATGAGAAACCCTTAACAATTCCCAAACGAAGATGGATCCAGTTTGCTTACAATGCATTTAGACCTTAAAATACACACGATTGTATGCATGTTCAGCATAACACCGATCTGTATAGAGGAGCACTTTGAGGGAAAATTATCGGGTTAGACCAAGATTGTAACCCGGAAGCTCCAACTCTAGACAGGTGCTCTAATTACCATTGTGACTGAGCATTATACCTGGTCATCAATTCACAATAGACACATGCCCCAGTCTTATATCTATATATCCTGTTTGCTGACTTGTGATGTCAGTTATTAAAGTATGAACTATAGTATGGAGCACAGATTACTTGTTATGTATTATATGACAAACTGGTTTACTAGTAAGTAACTCTATTTTATTGTACTAATGTAATAGAGGTTGTTAATTTCCTGATGTCTCTACTAGAAATCAAACCTAGTCTGACACTCTACTGATTGAGCTGATGAGAAATTCCACAAGCCAAATTGGTATGGTAGGATACAACTATAGTATTATATCAGGGTGATATATATATACTCCCTTTACAGGAAAAAAAGCATACTTCACTCGTTTCTATGCCCTTATGATTAACTCATTGCTGCAGACCTACCACAAGCTTGCTGACATCATTTCTGGTTTTTGAGTAGTGAACGTAAACACATATATATATATAGCCTCATGTCTGAAAAGACGTCAGAGAAAATGAGAAATATACTCGCAAGTTCATGCTATTTTATTCAATACTTGTAGAGCTTTTCTGCAATTGTTTTTTTTTAGGTTACAAAAAAATAGAAATAACCTGGGAAATGGAGATATTTTATATAATAATTCCATGCCTCTACATAATCATTTGCTTACAGTATTGTGTGACCGTCATGTGGTCTGGCTCGTACAGCTTTTCTACAGGCAAAACCAAATATAATCATATGTTTTTCATATAAGTTCCTTATTTATTATTTTTAGGTTAGTAAATACAGGTATATTCCTTCCTTTGCAAAACAGTCTAATGTCAGCAATTTGCTTTTTAATTTTGATGATTAGTTTATTTGGCAAATTTCATCTTAAAGGTACAGAAACTAGAGCTAGAAGCTTAATATAACCCAGGTCCCTACATATCCACTATATCGTAAAACGTACTAGCCTTGTCTGTCAATACACCTATGATATGTATATTATAGGTGTAACAGACAAGACTACATGTAGTACCTGTGATTGTAACAGGGATCATTATATGTTTACAGTAATCACAGTAATCTTCCATCATTGGAAATCTTGATAGAGATTGTTGCGATGCCTCTTCTTTTTGCTTTAATCGTGTTAACTTTAACGCCTTCACTTCCGGTTGCGTGCATGCTTAATATGTAAAATTAATTTACAGTTTATGCACACGTAATGTTCACTGTTTAATAAAAGGAAGCACTGAATTTCCTGGGATGAGTATTCCAGTGCTTGTTCAGTCGATGCTTGAACGAATTGATGTTTTCTGCGGAAACTACTTCCTTTGTAAGGTTGTTCCATGTGTTGACAACTCTGTTGCTGAAGACGTTTGTGCTGATGTTTAATCGGAATGCTTTTTTGTAGAGCTTTTTAGAGTGCCCCCTTGTGGGGTTTACTTCTGGTCGTGCAAACCTGTCGGGCCTTAGACGATGTCAATCCCGTTCAGTATTTTGTATAGTTCTACCATATCTGCACGTTCCCTTCTGTATTCTAGTGTTGGTAGTCCCAATTTCCATAATCTGTTGGTGTATGACATGTCCTTAAGTTGCGGGATTCTTTTCGTAGCTCTTCATTGTACGTTTTCATTGGCAATTTTGTCTTTCAACAGCATCGGGGACCAAACTGTGGAGCTATACTCTATATGCGGTCTTACCAGTGTCTTGTAAAGGGCAACAAATGTATTGGTATCTTTAAGGGTTATAGTCCTGCAAATTATTCTGAGTATTCTGTTGGCTTTTGACACGGAAATGTTGGTGTGATCACTGCATGAATTTGAGAGTACTGTCAATCATAACTCCTAGGTCTTTTTCCGTTGTAACTTTGGTAATATTGGTTACTTCCCCTTTATCGGTTATCTCATAAGTTGATGTTTTCGCTTTGTTCCCTATCTCCATGTGTTTACATTTATCGATGTTGAGCTCCATTAACCAATTTTCTGTCCATTGACATTTCTTGTCTATGCTGTTTTGCAGTTGTGCTGTATCTTCCGGTTTTGATATTTTTTGGTATAACTTAGTGTCATCAGCAAACATCTTTATAATGCAGTTGACTAATTCGGGCATGGCGTTTACGTATATTAGGAACAGCAGCGGACCCAGTACACTCCCCTGGGGTACCCCGCTGCGGACTGGTTGGGGGTTGAATTGCTCACCATTAATTACTACCTTCTGTGTCAAGTTTGATAGATAGGCCCTTATCCAATTTAGCACACATCCCTTGACTCCATATAGTTCCAGCTTGTATAGTAGGAGACGGTGTGAAACCACATCAAACGCTTTAGCGAAATCTAGGTATATGACGTCTGCATTGTGTCTGAAGTCTATGATTTCCGTCCAATCCTCTATTGATTCCAACAGTTGTGTCGTGCAGGAACGTCCCACCCTGAAGCCGTGCTGGCTGTCTGTTATAAGATTGTTATGGTCTAGATGTTGTAGTATGCTATCTCGTACAATTCGCTGCATGATTTTGCATGGTACAGATGTTAGGCTTATGGGTCAATAGTTACTTGGGGTTCTTTTTTGATCCTTGGTGATTTGAAGATTGGTGTCACATGTGCTTTTTTCCAGCATTCCTTCTTCGAGAGATCTGTTAAAGATTACATCTAGTGGTTCTGCAATCTCGTCGATCGTGTTTACTAACATTCTAGGATGGATATTGTCCGGTCCTGACGATTTATTTGGGTTTAGCCGCTTGATTGCCTTCTCAGGCGATATTACAATGTTGTCCAACGCTTCTTCGTATGTCCTTGGGGTTAGATTTGGTATGTTGGTGTTGCCGTCAGTGACAAATACACTAGCGAAGTAGTTGTTGAGGGTTTCTGCTGTTTCCTTATCATTTGTTGTTAGTGTTCCATCAGTTTTTGTCACTTTGTTGATGGTTCTTTGTTTTGGAGTTAACATATTTTCAGAATGCCTTGGGGTTGGTTTTGTGGTGTTTGTTGACGTTCTGTAAGCGTGCGAATGACTGTGAGTGAAGCATGTGAGTGACCTTGATGGGAGCCTAGTTCGAATTGTTCTTGCATGTGTTTTGTTCCAAGATAAAAAGTACCCAAGCTGAGATAGCTGTCCAGTGTTCTATATTTGTGAAGCGTATGTGTGCCGACTGTACTGGTACGAATACAACAATGGCGTCACGAGCATTCCCGAGTCTGTTCGCGGAGGTCATGGATACGCTAGAATCCGAGGAGAATTTCTAGTGGGATTAATACAAGAGACGTAGAATCCCGGGTAGAGGGTGCGCGCCATCTTTGATTGTCTTTTGTGTGATACACGTGTTTTGTGTTTCACGTTGTCCCAATGTTTATGTTTTGTGTTTAGAGTTGTATCCTGGGTAGAGGGAGCAATTTATTCACAAATTCATTCGATAGTTGACCCGTGTAGAAGGCCAACTACTGTCTGATACCCTTGCGTGTTTTTAAATAATAAAACAAAAACCAAAAACGAAACAAACGGAAACGGAACGGTTATCTTAGGACAATAAAAAAATAAAATATTTAGACAACATTTTATTCGTGGTCACGTTGGTTAGGTGCTCTGGTGGCGCTGTACCAATGGTAACTGATGTTTGATTAATTTAGTTTCAAGTGTATTCAGTGAGGTAGGTGTTCTGTTGACGCCAGGCTGCTCTGAATATCTATATATATATTTATTAATTTTTTTTTGCTCGCTGTGGTAGGTGTTCTGTTTGACGCTAACCCTCGAGTATTATTTATATTAAAACCACAGCTAGGGTGTCGGTTGTTTTTCTCTTACTGTTCTAATATGCAGTGTGGTGGGTGGTAATTACCGCTACCCCTGTTTAATAGAAATAAATTTTGTAAAAGGATTTGGGTATATTTTTTTTTTTTTTTTCTCTTGTTGTTTCTGTGTTAACAGATCTAGATGAACAAGCGGTATGCAGGGGTACTGATCGCAGATTCAAGAGCAAATAATTTTCAAAGATTTGGTCATCCAGAGGATTTCAACATCAAATTTATAATTCAGAGAGGCGCACAAATTCAGGACCTGGTGGCATTATCAATTCCAATCGTTCGGACATTTGAACCATCAAAAACTTTAATAATAAAAGTTGCTGCTGGCATTAATGATTTGTTAAAATTGGAACGGGAGCCAGATGGGAAAATTCTAGTACCGTCAGACAGGTCACCGGACAATATTATTGAAGAACTTTCAGAATTTAGAACACGTGTACAGGTAGTTAGACCATCAAGCCGAGTTAGTTTCATCACCATCCCTCCTGCTTCGTTAAAAGACTTTCAACTTAATAAATCCTCCAAACCAATTAACCAAAATCTGGTAACAAAATTACAAGAACAACACAATAAAACTGTGTTGGAGGTAAATTCTAGAATTCACCATTTAAATAACCAGACAGTGCCAACGGGTTGGACAGTTAAGTGGGCAGATACCATTGTTCACAAACACAAGAAAAGGAGAGGCCGTGCACGGAAAGTGATTACCGCTTAC